TATATTCACCTATAATTTAAAAAAAAATTACTGATAAAGTTAAATGAAATAGTAAAGATAAACGAAAAAACTTTTGGTCAATGACTTTCCGGACACCCTGTAGATTCATTAGAAAATCAAATCAACAAAACAAACTCTTCTTTTTAAAGTGTTTCACAACAAAATGATAAAATACCTTTTTCATAAGCAAAAACGTAGATTCAAATCTGTATACAAGCATAAATGATCTGTCTATATCTAAATTCAGAGAAAATTACCTTTAATCACCAAAATTTTGTAACTGCAAAATAATCAACGACGAATCAATGTTTTGACCGCCAAGCTAAACAAGATATAAACGTATTAAAATGGATCCATATTCCAATATATGAAACTCAACTTTTTAAATTTCGCTTGATTCTGAGAAAGAGGAAAGTAGGAGATGGGAACTTCTATTACGACTCTTTATATCAAGAGTTCTTGAGGAATCGAAGTTGTAAGTACCGCAGAAGTCAGTTGATAAATGCAGTTACAACACAAGATTAAGAAAAAGCAGTTTTTATTTGAGCTTATTTCATCTCAAAATAGTGTTAAATCAGTGACTGAAATGTTTTCTTTGTAAGATATGAAAGCGTCTCTTGTTTGAATGATTATATTCCTTCATCTAACTAATGAACAGAAAGAAAATTTCATACTACATAATAGATTATTAATATATATTTTTATATATTAAGCGGAAGTAAGTCATAAGGAGCGCAAATCCTATTGTTGTGAAAATAGACAATTAAAATTAAAAACAATCAATGCAAGGTAATTCGTAGAAAATAACTTATGTAAATCATTGTACAAGTTAAAATTCTAAATTTTCTGTGGTTCATAACTTTTATCCTATCTGAATGTATTCCATCAAAATGTTTTTCTCAAGAGCTTCTTTCTACTTAATTATTTGTATGATCGTAAATCTTACTCTAGGCGAATTACTGAATATGTATGTTTCATTCGTTGTGTTTTATTTTAGGTCATTGGTAAAGTGCAATAAGATGCTAGTTTAAGGGTAAACATATCTTTAGTCATCAAGTTTAGAACTTTGATCACCAGTATTTGTCTAACTGCGAAATGATCATCAATAATTAATTTTTCTATTACCGACTTTATTATAAATGAAAACAAAAATAACAAATAGAAAAATTATTCGATGCTTTTTATTTGAGCAAATCAAGGTTTTTTGTAAATGAATGAGTCGAATCATGTCATCGAGTCAAGACCTTTAAATTCCTGAGTCCAACTAGAGTCCGAGTCGTGACTCGGCGGACTTGCTCAGCCCTGTTACCTTTTCTGACTACTGTTTATTTACCACACTTTATATACAAACGCATACGATACAATAAAAGAATCAAGAATAATCTGATGCAAGAATAAGAAATAAGCATAACGCAAATAGTTATTAGATCGTGTCGGCATTCACATAAAAACAGATACAAGTTGAAAAAAACTATATCTGTTCTTTCTATTCCTAAACACATATACATACAAATGAGTAATATAAATAAAAAACGTATTTCTTTCGACAAATAAGTAATTAACATAACCATTATATTTATATACAAGAAAAAAAGAAAGAACAATCATAAATAAAAGAGTATATTTATCAAATTCATCGAGACATGTACTTGATCAAAAGCTTTTATAATGACGAGTATACTAAATCATCTAATATAAAAAACGTTAATAACAGATGTTCAAATTATTTATCTATTGAGAAAGAAATATTTATTTGAATGAAAATTTGCAGCATTAATGCAGTAGTTGAAGTTGTACTATTTGAAGGTTACCATAAACTATTTCAATGATGACTTTAATACCGTCATATTCCTTTATCAATAATTATTGAAAAAATTTCATTATTTTATTTGATCAAAGATAAAATATTTATATTTTATGTATTAATAAATTCGATTTTACTTAATATATTTGAATGATTAGCAAGTTTCTCTCTTTTGATCGTTGAATAAAGAATAAATTACATTGCCATTAGAAAATTAATGTGAGATAAAGAAAACTAAAATCATATATAACTAGATGACGGTATTGTGTAAGATTATCGTCATTTTGAATTTCAACAAAGAAAACAAAATCACATGATTTAGTCATTCTTTTTCATACATAAGGCTAATGAGAATATAATATTTTTTTTGTGTATTAACACAATAAGTTTTCGTTGTATTTGCTGGAAGATCACTATCAATCTCTTTCTGAATTAATGCTATTTATAAAAAAAAATTGTCTCTAATCAATTGTTAATTCTAATTTAATACATGAAATTGAAATGTTTGATGATGATGACAAATAAGACAAAAGATATAAAATAAAGTTCTTTATCTTGAACTATAATTTAAAAATTATAGATCAAAACTTATCTTTTTTATTTTTCTTTTCAAATAAAAGGCATAACAAAATCATTTTAGAATAATTTTTTATAAACCATCTAATATCCTTCAAGAATTTTATCAACTTATTATAGATCAAAAACCAACTTCATCATCACTTGTTTCGTGCTTGTGTTCGTCGATATTTAAGAATGCTTGTCGTTCGTTTTTCAATATTTTCAATTAAATCACCAACATTAAGTAATACACTAAAAAAAATATTTTCAAGACAGACAAGTAGTACGAGGAATATTAAACTTACCCATCAATAAAGTGATCTTTAATTGGTACTTTAAATTCTGATTCCTTGTTATTAATCTAAATAAAAAAAGAAACGATAAAAAACTGATACTAATGCAAAAATAACTTACAGTAAACAGCATAAAATACATATCATCTTCAAATAAATATTCGACTTTTATCTGAAGGTCATTATAAGTATAATCGAGAGAAAAAGAATCCTTTTCTTGATCTTTCTTTCTTACAATAGTAAGTAATTCATTAGTCTTTAAAATAAAAAGAAATAAGATCAATTTATGAAAATAATTTCTTACCTCCTCATCTTCATTATCAATAACAAAACCATATTGAATAAGACAATAATGTCCGATCAAGATTAGTTTATCTTGATTTTTAATTGTATCTTTATATAGACACAATAACCATGATAAAAATTTATATTCTTTCATGTAATCTACAAAAAAAATAAAAAGTTGTTAAGAAATAAATAAATTGTGATGTCATAATAATGGAAAAAATCTTTATTTAAATATATGATTTCAACAATTTATGGTATTATTATTGATCTTTATCGAATACTATCGAAAATCTTATCACAAGAAAATATAACTATAAGACCTGTCTGTAGTTTTAGTATTAATTAACGTATTTCGATTAGATCTGTTAAATAATTCATCATAAAACAAGATTCTAACATATATATATATAATAATCGACCTCTACTATCCAGTGATAAAAAAAGAAATTCAAATTACATGTGAGTTACTCTTAATATATGAGGCAAAACAAAAAAAAGTGATGTGAACTTTTTGATGTCTACTGTAATAAAAATTAAAAATGTTAGATTACTAACCTTTAGTGACAGCAAAACAATCTATTTTACCTGATACTAATTAAAAAGATCCAGCATTATACAGACGCATAGTCATAAGAAACTCCACCATAGAGACCACAATCCAGCGGCTTCTGTGCCGGTCGCAAGTCTGGATAAAGGAAGAGCGTTTGACAGAAGGGGTGCAGATACCGCCGTCTGTAAAAGGAACAAGACGACAGAAATCAACCATGAACGACTTCAGCACGAAACCATACCGGCTCGGACGGCGCCCGGGTAAATAAGGTCCGCGTACTCTGCCGAGTGACCAGGACAGAGTCGAAAAATTGGCTACTGGAAAAAAGTTATACACGAATGATACGACACAAAACACACAAAAACTAAAACTCGCCAAAAACATTCTGACAGTAGGAACATGGAATGTACAAACATTATGGGCTGCTGGAAAATTGGAACTCCTTAGAAACGAAATGAAACGTTTCAGATACGACATAATTGGTATTTCTGAAGTACGGTGGATAGGAAAAGGTGAAACACCTCAGGGAGATTTCATCTGGTCGGGAGAAGAAACCTCGCATATAAGAGGTGTAGGCGTGT